GACAGGGAAGCCCAATGAGATGTGGTCTTTTACACACTGAGCACCAGCTCCTTTGGGGATTGTTCAAGGAGGGACATTTATATAATAAGAAAATACATATCACACTAGAAAGAGAGAAAGCAAAATACCATGCTTTCAAGTTGATTCCAGCTCATAGTGACCCTATATAGGATTTTCAAGACCATGAATCCTTACAGGAACAGATAGCCTAATTTTTGTCCTGATGAGCAGCTACTGGGTTGTAGTTAGTGGTTCAAAGCCCAATGCTTACCCAGAAGCACTACAAGGACTCCTAGACTAGCTACAAAGAGACCAAAGGTTATTAGTGGTTATGAGGGGTGGGCAAGAGAAAGATGAGGCTTACTACTCCTGTATAAAGTTTCAGTCTCTGAAACCCACAGGGCCAGTTCTATTTTTTCCTATTGGGTCTCCATGAGCTAAAATCAACTTGATGGTGCTAAGAAAAGAACAAGAACAGGGATGGGAGGAAAGTATTTTGCTGAAGGGGTATAGTGCATATGTTAATTTTTTTAAGTTTTACTGACATTTCACATATCATACAATTAATTCTATGTTTAAACATATTAAAAAGAGCTGTGAAATCCATTTTGGAGTATTATTTTCTTTCTTGCACTCATTATTATTAGTCTCCCTTTTCCCCAACCTCCCCTGGCAAAACCCTAAGAAATTATTAATCCAGTTACTGTCTCTATAGATTTAGCTATCTATTTTATCTAAAGAAAACCACAAAACAGCAAACCCCCAATAACAGTAACAAAATAAAACAGAGAATAACTTCAATCAACAAGAAATCAGAAAATAATACAAACTAGAACAAATTTAAAATGAGTCAAAAGGAAGAATAAATGATAAGGCATTAAATTTTACCCTAACTCCATCTGCATCAGCCCACTTTCCAATGCACAGAGTGTAGGCTAATGGTGGTAGGATAAAGAGAATGACCGGCTGGGCAACTTGCAGAATGTAACCATGGCCCTGAATGAGGACACTTGAACTGGCAGGTTTTGTTATGTGTATTTTCACCATATTAATGAAAAGGAACAAGAACCCTGAAAGCAATGGAAGGTTTTGTCTCCCTACAACTCCCTGACATGGAGTCTCTGTATCTTTGCAGGATGGGAATATTCATAATTATCCCACAGCAAAAGCTGAGCTTCCCCTCCAAAGACTGAAAACTCTCACAGTTGAGAGAGTTTCTAATGCTCAGAAACTCCAGCATGCTTGTTTAAAGGGAACCTTTGGATTTTAATGGTGCAATAAACATGGAAGGACACGCTGTCCTAGGGTTGCCACAGTTTCAGGATGATTAGCCAACAGAGCTAACAGGTGGCGGACTTACCCACGCAGGTCTGGCAGGTGGGGTGGCACTCCTTACATAGAATCAGCTCTGAGTCAAAGTAGGTGCCCGGCTCACAGTCTGGAATGCAGCTACCCCTCGCAAGACTGTTGGAAAGAAGTAAGGCAGGTTTCCCAATCAGTCCCGTAATCTGAAGCAAGTTTTGGTTATCATCGAACGCCTTTCATGAGAGGATATGACAGCTCTTAGAGCACAGCTATTTGTGTGGCTGAAGAGGTCATGAAAGTGGAGAAGCTCCACTGTAGCAAGCTAGGAGCCTGCTGTCCTGGCGTTTGGAGTCTGGGAAGCAAGGTCACGACTGTGAGGCTGTCACAGTCCTTAGGCTCCCTCTAACGCACTGTGATTCTTGTCTTGGTCCTCATGTTCTTTCCTGTTTGCGATGGCTTCTCTTCACGGTTGCTTCACAAACTTGTTCTGTCCCTCAGAGGGGAACTTGAGCACATATGAGTAACTACTTGCGCACGGAGGTCCAGTGTGATGACTAATCTTATGTGTCAACTTGGCTATTCTATGATTCTCAGTGGGATGGCAGACACTGGATTGGTTACCATTCCATAACATTACCTAATACAGTGTAATCTCTTTTCATGATGTGACCTGATGTGATCAACCAATTACTTTATTTATATAATTTTATTGGGGGCTCTTACAAATCTTATGACAATCCATCATTCAATTGTATTTAACACACCTGTACATATGTTGCCATCAACATTTCCAAAACATTTTCTTTCTACTTAAACCCTTGGTATTAGCTCCTCTTTCCCCCCACCCTCTCCCTTCCCCACTCACCCCAACCAATTATTCAAAGAGCAATTTCCTTGGGGGCTGCTGTTTGCCTCTAGTATATAAATCGATGTCCTGGAAAAGTCCACTCTTTCTCTTTCTTTGATCTTTTTATTGTGAATTAGGTGAAAGTTTACAGAGCAGATCATCAGATTTATATGTAACAATATACACATTTTGTTTCAACTTATTCATGGCCATACCTTCAATGTACCATCACTGATCCCACTGATTCTCTGTGTTTCATGTTTCCATTCCTAACCTTCTGAACCCTATCCATGGGTAAACACTGCCCTTTTGATATTAAATGATAGATTATTCTAACACAGGAATGAGTTCATTTTCAGATTTGAAGGGTGAGTACGGATCATAGTCTTTGTAGTGCCACCTGTCAGATTTGAACCAGTATGCTTGGTTTCTTGTAATTTTGTTATTCTAGCGCTTGACTGGTATACTGCATGTTGTCTCACTCCAGCTCCTGGGATGTCAATAAGGTTGGGTCACCTAGTGCAGTAACTCATGGTGTCATCCCCTTTCCTCCCGTGGGCCCTGCAGAATCCATAATAATGTTTATTATCAATTTATGTCATAAACGAAGATGTGATCTATTAAGTCATACAATTGCTTAAATGGAATATTTCTTAGATTATATGAATAATTTGTTAGGCAAGGTCCTTTAGAGAAGTAAAACCAGGACTTTTATGGATAAGTTTATATAGTGAAAAGGAATGTAACAGCAAATTAGTCCACACAGCAGTACAGAGTGCTCAGTACAACTCACTTTCATGGGACAGCTAATATACTGAAGGTCCTTCCAACTCATGCAGCCAAGGAAGCAGAAAGTAGGGAAATGAAGTGGTGAGGGGTGGCACAGGCTATTAGCGCAATGTGGCAAAGCAGGTCACGGTGGAGCCTCATGGTACAGTGATGCGAAGCAGCTAGTGGAACTTGCTATGTTTGGAGTGGCGGTAAGGTGAGCACTCATGGCAGGCAGCAGACATGGCAGGTGGGGCGGCGCCACAGCGAAGAACAGCAAGACACAGTGATGTGGTCCACCGTGGTCCATGGGTTGGCTTGGCCCACAGGTATCACAGCACATGTGGTGAGGCGGGCAGCACCAGTAGCATGCTGGTGCGACTACTAGGATCACCAGGGAGAAAGACCTAGGGGCCAGCCTCCAGCAAGCTATTGATCTTGATCACTCCTCCAAATCAGGTCATCCAGCTACAACCTGATAGACAGGCTCAACACCATCAATATCTTCTTACGGTTGCCATGTTGGCACAAAAACCTGACTATCACAAATACTAACAAAATGGTTTTGAAAATTCTTTCTATGTTGAATCACATTACTAATTACAACATTATTAGTAACTTAGTGGAAACCTTTCCTCACCCATCCTCCGCCCCCCTTTTAAAAATGTTCATTACCATAAGTCAGATTTAATTATTTCATTTACTGTGTGTGATCCCACCTCAGAGTTTTGGGTTTTTTAAATCATTTTATTGGGGGCTCGTACAACTCTTATCACAATCCATACACACATCCTTTGTGTCAAGCACATTTGTTGCCATCATCAATCTCAAAACATTTGCTTTCTGCTCGAGCCCTTGGTATCAGCTCATTTTTCCCTCCCTTCCAGCTCTTCCCTCCCTCACGAACCCTTGATAATTTATAAATTATTATTATTTTGTCATATCTTACACTGTCCAACGTCTCTCTTCACCCACTTTTCTGTTGTCCATCCCCCAAGGAGGAGGTTATATGTAGATCCTTGTAATCGGTTCCCCCTTTCCACCCCCCTCCACCCTCCACCCTCCCAGTATCGCCACTCAGACCACTGGTCCTGAAGGGATCATCTGCCCTGAATTCCCTGTGTTTCCAGTTCCTATCTGTACCAGTGTACATCCTCTGGTCTAGTCAGATTTGTGAGGTAGAATTAGGATCATGATAGTGGCGGGGGGAGGAAGCATTTAGGAATTAGAGGAAAGTTGTATGTGTCATCATTGCTACACTGCACCGACTGGCTCGTCTCCTCCTCGCAACCCTTCCATAAGGGTATGTCCAGTTGCCAACAGATGGGCTTTGGGTCCCCAATTTGCACTCCCCCTAATTCACAATGATATGATTTTTTTGTTCTTTGATGCCTGATACCTCATCCCTTCAACACCTCATGATCACACAGGCTGGTGTGGGCTTTGTTGCTTCTGAGCTAGATGACCGCTTGTTTACCTTCAAGCCTTTAAGACCCCAGACGTTATATCTTTTGATAGCCGGGCACCATCAGCTTTCTTCACCACATTTGCTTATGCAAACACTTGTCTTCAGCGATCATATCCGGAAAGTGAGCACACAATGATATGATTTTTTTTTCTTTGATGCCTGATAACTGATCCCTTCAGCACCTTGTGATCACACAGGCTGGTGTGCTTCTTCCATGTGGGCTTTGTTGCTTCTGAGCTAGATGGCTGCTTGTTTACCTCCTATCCCTTTTCTTTACTATTTCATTCACAAAAATGCTATGGATATAGGTTCATTAATTATTACAATATTGTAGCTAAAACATATGACAGAATCAGTGACTATAAAAACACTCACTGCCATTGAGTCAATACTGACTCATAGTGAATCTATGGGACAAGATAGAACTGCCCCTGTAGTTCCTGAGCCTGTAACTGTGTACAGGAGTAGAAAGCCCTGTCTTTCTCCCTCAGAGCTACCGGAAGTTTCAAACCGCCAACCTTTCGGATTGCAGCCTAATGTAATTGGGCTTGTAGCATGTGCAGATGAAACCACATGATTTGAAGTATCATGGCAATTGAGTAATGATAACATGTTTGACTGGAACATATTATAAAGTCCAAAAAGCAAATTAACATAATAGAGCTTTAGCCTTGTAAGGTTATTGCTACATGTAAATTGGGCTTATACTAATGTTTTTGTTGTAACTATAGGGATTTTTTATAAAAACTACCTTTCTGCCGAACTACTGTACAGAAATATTATAGACAGTCATTTTGGGGTCACCTGGTCTGAAAGGGTCACTTGGTGTGGTCTGCACTCTCTAGTGATACTGCTGATGTCAGCTTACCTGTTGCCTGCCCTGCGTTTTGGATTTGCCAGCTCTTACAGTCCCATGAACCAGCAAAGGTCTCCAATCTACCACTGGACATGGATTTAAGATTTTTCACTCCCATGATTGTGTAAATCATTTTCTTTTTAGTACATCCCTCTATATGTATCTTAATAAAAATAGCTCCTCTAGAGAACTCAACTAAGACACCCAAGCTAACCCTAATCTGAACCCACAGGGAGATTTTAGCATTTATGAAGAGGCTTCAGCAAGTTTGTGGAAAAATAGAATGAAAAGATCATGAAAATTTCCCATGAACTTTCTGAATCCTCCTCGTATAATTATGTAATAAAGAATTTACTTTTATCTCAAAAAAATCTCACCTTTGTACTGGCTAACAAGATGGCAGGGGGTACACTTTCGGATTGGCACTAGCCTTGCCAGAAAGATGGCTGTGATTTAGGGTGGGATCGAGGGGGCAGTATATCCTTTTGTTGTGTGTACGGTCACTATGGGTGGGACCCAACTCGACAGCACCTAATAACACCAACAAAACCGAGGGGCTAGCCACCGAGATCAGCCATGTAGATATTCCATCATACTCACAGGGTACAAGCCCCCCAAAGACTCTGGACACTGAGGCTCAAGGAAGCTCTTTGTTTGCCAATATTCCCAGTGCACGGTTACGCATTGATCCTATGAAAGTAATATGTTCTGACTCCCTGGGGAAAGGGTTTATGTGGTCTTTCCCTCTCACTGCTTCCCTTGATTGATTTTAATCTGTATTCTTCCCCAGTAATAAACCATAGCTATCAGTAGAACAACTTTTGGTGAATTCTGTGAGTCCTGTTAAAAAATAATGGAATCTGAGAGTTGTTTTTGGAACCCGTTTAACTTGTGGGTGGTGTCAGTCCATGGTACTTTCAGTATTCTTCACTGGGACCACAATTCAGGTAAGTCAATTCTCCTGTTTTCCTTATTCAATGTCCAACTTTCAGATGCATATGAGGTAAACGAAGATACCATGCCTTGGGTCAGGCTCTCTTTATCCTCAACGTAACATCCTAGCTTTTCAACACTCTACAGAGGTCTTGTGCAACAGATTTACACAATGCAATTCGTTGTTTGATCTCTTGACTGCGGCTTCATAAGCATTGACTGTGGTTCCAAACAAGGCAAGTGATTTGACAACTTAAATCTTTTCTCCAATCATCATAATGCTGCCT